CTGCTCAGTTAATCCCTATCAGGGGAATCATTCACTGATTGGGTCAAGATTCTCACAATTCAATCATTTCTTCTCTGAACCTTCTTGCATTGTCTCACAGGTGAGCTTTAGGGGGACATCTCATATCCATAACAGGTTATATGTTTATCTGTTCTTCCATCGATGGGCATTTGGGTTTTTTCTACCTTGTACTTAGAATACCTCCTATTTTTTTGGTCACACCTTCTCCCCATTAAATCAAACTCTCATACTTCCAACACTCTGCTCAAACTGATCTCTCTATTTAAAAAGTTCTGCTCCACCCCAGTTTTGCTTCCTTTTATTAGGAAACTAACACCTACACCCTTCATGTGTCAGCTCAGATCTCTTCCTTGGAAAGCCTTCTAGGAGTCTCTGGCTACCAGAGCAAGAACCTTTAGCCTGTACTGCCTCATGCTCACCACGCCCAGGTGCCTCATCCTACTGAAGCATTGAGCATGTCCACCAAATTGATCCACCTGCCTCCCCACCACAGTTGTAAGCTCCTGGAGGGCAGTTACCATCTCCTACTCATTGCTTGGTCTCCACTCCACTTAAATGCCTATTACTGCAAGAACTTAGAATAATAGGCATTTAAGGAACCTTTGATCCAATGCAGGATGAAACAGAAATCTCCTCTTCCCACAATCTTGCTTTATATCGCAAAGAACTTTCCTGCTAGTAAAAAATTTGTGCTCAAAAATGTCAGGTATCTAAAACTGGGAGGCAGAATAATGATTTTTGTGGGGTGGGAGTACCAGGGATTGAACTCGGGGGCACTCGACCACTGAGCCCTATTTCGTGTTTTATTTAGAGACAGGGTCTCACTGAATTGCTTAGCAGGTCACTTTGTGCTGAAGCTGGCTTTGAATTTGCAATCCTCCTGCCTCAGCCTCCTGAGCCACTGGAATTACAGGCAGAATAATGATTTTTGACTCCTACACACATTGCCTTATTCTTCACAGAAATATTCTAATCCTCCATCGCTATTCCCTCTGAGACTGCAAGCCCAGTAGTTGATTTAGGTTTTTGTGCTTGGACTTGGTTATTTAAAACTGTTTCTCACCCCCTTTGTTTTGTTTTCCCTGAAATTTCATGTCTCTAATGTTTTAAAATCAAGCAACTCTCCAATGGCTTCTTGCAGGGCGTGACCATCTTCTCTTTGCTCATCATGTAAAAGATGCCCCCATCTCTTCTGTCCTCATCACTACACTTCCTTGTTTTCACTCTAGTTATTTACTCAATTTGGCGGGCTCAATCCCTCATGGGTCAACTTCAAAACCCTCTCCACCTTCTCCTCATCTTCCCAGTCACTCTTGTGCCTACCAGAGTTCTAGTTCTTGAACTGGCACTGTAGCCGGGTCAGGATCTGTACCTGAATTGCTTCCAGTGTCGCTCAGTTCAAAGGTCACTAACATTAAATTCATACAAATGTAGAATTAAAATCCAAAACAGATTTTACAACATTGCTCTTTAAACATTGAGGCAAAATATTTCACTGTGTGTGTGTGTGTGTTAGCATTATTTTGAGTTGTCATCTTGAAGCTGCCAACTTTTTTTTATGTGCAAAAAATTGGAAACCAGGTACATGGCAGGTGAAACTTCGGAGTGATCACAGTGGAACGGAACCTCTTTTAGGGAGAGGGACCAGCATTGCCAGAGGTGAAGGAAGTATATAAGTCTTCTTTGATGAAGGGTGATGGGGGAAGGGAAGAGGAGGTATTGGATGTTACCAGAAGTTCCCTGGTATTCTTAGCCCCTGATTCACAGGCAGAAAGCAATCAGGGTTAATACTGTTGAGAAAGATGAACAGCAGACATTTTTCTTTTCCTCTTTAATATCTAAATCTTTCCCATGCCAATCTGCCATCTCCCTACAGAAGCATACCTTTTAAAATTAATCAAGATTTTGTATGTTTAATTGAATATGGATTGTAATTGGGCCACTCCTTGACTTGGAAAAACAGTGATTGACCTCATATTTTATAGATTTTGGCTACCAAGTTCTTTGCACCACTGCCTAATTTGGACATTGTAGATGGTTCCCTGGCATTGATTCTTCCCCGGCCCTATTGAGTTTGGGCCATGTGTTTTGGAGAATTGTCCCTAGCTAAAGGTCAGTTGGTTTAGGAGTAACCCTGTCTTCACTGCCTGGGTTTTATTCAGTGATGATCATGTCATTTACTCCTGGCCAATGAGAAAAGAAGCAATATTGGAGGAGGTTTAGGGAAAACAAGACCCTGATCAGACAGGCTCTCGTTGTTGCAAGATAAAAACCAGAGGCTTGTAACTCTTGAGTACTCTAAGGGCCTCCAAGTCCAGGATAAAGGTGGTGCTCTGAGTAGCAACATGAGAGAGATGGAAAAAAGAAAAATCCAAGGTTCTTCACGACACTATTGAGCCAAAAATCAACCAACTCTATACTTGTGCTATGACTGGACTTCCTGTAATGAAAACTAATATATTTTCTCACTGTTTGATCCAGTTTAAATTTTCTCATCTCTTACTTGAAATCATGTACATCCTAAATGATCCATGATCTTTATGACCTTCCATAGACACCTGTGTCGACTTTTGTGGCCAGAACCTGCCTTGAGCCTCATTTCCCTTATCTGAGAAATGAATATAATTGTGTCTCACAGAGTTTTCCCCAAAGATTTTTTTGAGAACCAGAACAAAACCTGAGAGAGGCCACACAAACTGATACAGACTGAGTGCTTATGGTGTACCACAACGTAGGCTGGTTTCTTTGCTTTAGGAAGCTTAGAGAACAGGAGAAGAGAAATTCACAGATAATGACTTTATGGTAGAAATAAGATCACATTGCATAAGAACCTCTGTACAATCGATTTTTTTTTAGCTCATTCTTATTTAGATTTCTTTTCAAGATTGTATTTGTTGAGTGCTTACTATTCCAGGAACATGACCCAACATGGGGAGGATGGAAGAGTGGGATGAGAAAGGGGACAAAGAGAAAGCGTTTTTGAAGGATTTGCATGTAAGCCAAACCCCGAATGACAAGTAGGAATCAGGTGAAGAATAGGGAACAACATTCCAGGCAAGGAAGTATGTATAAAGTCCAGGAGGTAAGAAGGAACTTGGTGAAGGGAAAAGGAGGCATGTGTCCAAAGTAAGTGGATGAGGAATAACGTGGTGGAAGATGGAAGTTGGAAAGATAAAAAGGAGACAGATAACGAGGGCCTTGCTGGCCAAGTTTAAGATTTTGGAATTATAAAAGTGTGAAGCCAGACCATTAGGAAGTTTTAAGCAGAAGAGTCTTTCCCCACTTCCCCTCACAGTTTATTCTAATGGATCTTCAGGGTTGAGGAAGAGCTCTTGGATCAGTTTGGCAGATTGGATGTGAAACATGTTAGCCAGGATGACAGTGGCGGTGGAGATGGTGGGAGCCATGGATCTGAGCTTTGGGTGCAGAGCTCCTGGCTGCAGTGATTGAAGGAAAGGATGTGGTGAAGCATGGCGAGAGCGACGCATGCTGATTCTCCATGGCTCCTCAGTTTCTGTGTGCATAAATCGAGAAGAATGGAGGAAGCAATTTTTTTGTACAATAACTAAAGTTCAGTTTAGACTATATTAAGTTTGAGGCATCTGCCATGTGTTGACATAGAGAATGAGCAGCACTCCTCGGGTCTGTCCAGGCTGGAGTGAAAATTGGAGTCACCTGCACATTCATTGCATCAAGAGCCGTGGGGACAGATGGCCCCTATTAAGGAGGAAGTGGAGAACGGAAGGGAAAGGTCCTACCTGACTTTGGGAAGCCTTCCCTCAAGGTGAAACATTCTTCAGAAGCCAGGGGAAGAGGAGGCCTGGGTACCCAAAATCCTCACCCAGGATTTTGAATCTCAGAAGCTAGATAAGGGGAAGAATGGTGAGGAAGGAGGGGGCCAAAGATATTGGGTAAAATAAATCAGTCTTGAGGGAGAGGGTGTGTGAGTGGTGGTATGTGTGTAAGTGTGTGTGTGTGGGGGGGGTTAAGTATTTGACCTTAAATTATCTGGGGTCAAAGGGAAGGGGATGAGGATGGGAACTGAAATTTGAAGGGTTGGTGTCATACAGAGGCAAAATACTTTCTCATAGACCTCAAAACACACATTCCTGTCACATGCACTTGGACACACACACACACACACACACACACACACACACACACACACACACACGGCAGTCATGTATGGTTCTCGTAACATTGACTGCTATTTCTTTGATAATACTGGGAACACAGGAGGAGATGAATACAGATTTGTTGAGTGAATAAATACTCCAGAAAATAAACTTTAGGTTTTGTTTGTGAGGGTATACATGTTAGAGATGTGGGGAGAGTAAGATGAAAAAATGCAAGCCACTGGGGCTTGTCTCTGCTGATCTCTTCACCCTGGTCTTTTCCTTCTCTTTCCCATAGCGGTGATGACTGTTTTAAAAAATCACTAGTTCTTTTTTCTGCCTCTTCTTAGCTTGTGGGTTTTTTGAGGGTAGCTTCTGTCCTACTTAAGTGCATGGTTCCGGGACCTGCCCCATGATTGGCACATAGTAAATGCTTATTAAATATTCATTGACTGAAAGGAAGAGGGTGAACTTAAGTGGAAATTTGGAGAATACAGAAGATTCAGAAAGGGACAGGAATGAGCACTTTTCAGATGTAAGCAGAGATATAAGCTAAATGCAATAATTGAATGTATTAGAAGCAGTCATGAAGCTGCCTAATTTGGGATTCTCATCAGAAATGTGAGGATTGCTAACTTGCTCAACTTGCAACTGATTGCATTTAAGTCTCCCTGACTTTCAAGCTCAGGGTTCCCTACTGCCCCATGCTCCTTCCTCATTCTGTTACTTCCCACAGTTATCACACTACGTCTTAACTCACAGATGTCTTTTTGCTTCCCATTTAGGCCTGATGAGATACTTTCTGTCTTGGACACTTTCTTTGTGTGAGTTGTTTTCTGAGTCCTATTTGTCCCTCTTTCCTAGCTCTCCACTGTGGTTTGAATCCACGGAGTATTGATCACCCTTCCCGGGCCGAAGGTATTAAACTGCAAATTGAAGGTGAAGGTGTGGAGTCTCAATCCATTAAAAGCAAAAATTTCCAGAAGGTGCCTGACCAAAAAGGAACCCCCAAGCGACTGCAGGGAGAAGCTGAGACGCCTAAGGTAGGTAATAAGCCAGTTAACGAATTGGTTTCTGAAGCTGCAGCTCCTGCAACTGCAGACTCTCTTGTGGTTCTGCCACAGAGAAGACCTGATGCTACTCTCACTAAGCACTGTCGTATCTTGGGTTAAAGGAGCACAGCATCTTGATATGTAACAATAAACGAAAATATTGACTGCCTTCCTTTGGATGGAATTGAAACACATTTGTGGTCAGTCTAATAGTGTGGGGCTCTGAGCTATGGCTTATAGAGAAGGATGTCTTAGACCTGAAGCTCAAAGATTGACCTTCCTGGCTTAGAGTTAACCCTTCATGATGGGTAAATCACAGGACTCCCTGAGGCTCAGGCTCTGTATCTATAGAGTGGGAATCATAAACCTACCTCCTTTGTCAGGTTGAGCTGATCGGATGATTTTGTGCTTATGGAACTGTTTTGTAAAAGCCCGAATATGAGGGTCTTTTGCTGAAAAATTAATTACAATAACTGACATTTTATGAAATATATATGTTTGCAGGCACTGTTGGAAGGAATATTGATGTACTGGCTTATCTGTGTCCAGAACCATCCTATGAGGTGGATGATAGTAAACAGATCCTTAATTAGAGGAAGATAAAATTGACCTATTTTGCTATAGGACACTTAGTTCTTTTTAGTCTTCTCTTTAAATGTAGATACCAAAAACCTGACAAAATATGGATTGGTAAAGATACCAAAATGTGGGTTTTGAGGGTAGGTGATTCTTTGCTGAGGACAGCCTCTTCTAAGAGCTACCTGTGTTGGAACTGTCACTATTTAGATTTTTGTCTGAAGTCAGTGAAGATGTTGGTGCCTAGTGATGAAGGTGTTCCTTTCCGTTTTTCTGTTGGAAATTGAGGGAATTCGTCTTCACATAGCGTTTGGTCTCTCCCTTCATGTAGTCCTTGCAGGAGAATTTCCTTTCATAGGTTTGTTGAGCAAATCCACACGTTCCAACCTTGGACAGCAAATGTAAGCACCCAAGAAATATCTTAAGTAGGAAGGTCACTTGGCTGTCCTCCAATGACTCACTCCTGTCTCCTCCACATAATGTGGTCCAAATTAAAATCACAATGGATTGTTTTTACCTACATTTTTGAATAGGCGTTATTATTGCTCCCTTCTTGAGCTTGGATAATTTAAAAACTGATGGCATTATTATGTATGTCTGCGTGGGTGTGTGGCAGGAAGTGGGGAATGATGAGTGAGGAAGATACTGCAGGTACTTTGCACTAGACTTCTTGGATGACAAGCTGTACCTCATAGGAAATGGCTGATGATCATTCACGTTTGGTTTGTGAGCAGAGTTGGAAACAAGTGAACCAGTGACATCTAAACTTGATCAATCTTTGGGGGCCACACACAAGTCTTGAAAGAGCCAGGAAAACAAATGCCCCCGGGGTCTTCTTTGGCTAGGAAGATAAATCCAATTTGTCTGAGTAAGATCGTTTCAAATGAATGGTTCAAATATTAAAAATCAGAGTGACAAAGAAAAGTATGGGTACTTCATTTTAATTCAACTTTGAACACTTCCAAATTATCTTTTTTATTTGCCCCCAAAATTGGCAATATAAAAAATTGATTTTAATCCAATATGACTTCATTACTCTTGAATTATTTTGAATATGTGATTTTAGAGAATATTCTGAATTTTTTGTATCACAGTTCTTTGTCTTGGCCTGTAGATCCCTTCATGGCTGATTTGTTGATAACATAATTCTTTGGTAATATAAAAGTTGAGGGACTGGGGTTGTAGCTCAGTGGTAGAGTGCTTGCATTGCACGCATGAGGCACTGAGTTTGATCCTCAACACTATATAAAAATTGTTTATTGATATTGTGTCCCCAAAAAAGTGTTTAAAAATATATACACATAAAAGTTGATAATGAACCTTTCTTTAGGAATGGACCACATATTAGAAAGAAGCCAGATTCACTTCGTCCAGATTATCTGTAATAAAACCCCCTAGTAGAGTTGGAAGATTTTGGGGTCTTCACATGAATGTCATATTGATGGCTGAATAGACTAGAAACTTTGGTAAAACTCAGACAAGGTAATTGCCCATTTCTTATGGAGAACTAGATGGCAAATGTGGTTGCTGGGGAGACAGAATCGGAAGCACCCTCTGGGATTACTGTGGGCTCTATCAGCATCACACACCCTGAAGTTTCTGTCCTGTAGACAATGTGAGCTTGTTTTGCGCATGTGCAAACTTACTTACATTTTCTCTTCTGTCCCATTTAGGGGGCTAGTGGGGTTTGAGGCACCTTCTTTCCTTTTGAGTGGGAAATTTAATCTCTAGTAATTTGATCTATTCTAAACTTAAGTTAAAAAAAAAAAACAAAAACCTGTGGCTAGAAGTGCATGCATTTAAAGCTAATCAGTCATGTAAATTGGTACAGTTTTTCTAGAGAACAGTCTGAATGGCAGTTATTAAAATTTTAAATGTATGTAATTTTGGGGCCAGTAAATCGCCCTCTAGATACTCATGCTAAGGAATTAATCATCAGATACTCAAGATGGCCCCAGGAGAACAGTCACTGTGAGCTGTTTGTGATCGTGCATGATGTGGATCGCCTTTTCTCATTAGGCTGATATTAGATGTTACACTGGTCGTGTATTCCTGTATGAACATACGAAAGTTATGTCCAATTCATTCTATTGCCTTTACCATCCTTCCCCTTTGTCTAATCTAGTGAATTTCTTTTCTCTCTGACCCACCCCCACCCCCACCGCCCGCCACACTTGCTGCTTATTGTGAGTTAGCATCCACATATCAGAGAGAACATTTAGCAAATGTTTTTTTTGGGATTGGTTCGTTTCACTTAGAATGATAGCTCTAGTTCCATCCACTTACTGGCAAATGCCATGATTTCATTCTTCTTTATGGCTCAGTAATATTCCATTGTGTATATCTACTGCATTTTCTTTATCCATTCATCTGTTGAAGGATACCTAGCTTGGTTCCATAGCTTAGTTATTGTAAATTGAGCTGCAATAAATGCTGATGTGGCAGCCTCACTATAGTATGCTGATTTTAAGTCCTTTGGGTATATGCCGAGGAGTGGGATAGCTGGGTCAAATGGAGGTTCCATTCCAAGTTTTCTGAGGAATCTCTACACTGCTTTCCAGAGTGGTTGCACCAATCTGCTGTCCCACCAGCAATGCATGAGTGTACCTTTTCCCCCACCTCCTCACCAACATTTATTGTTACTTGTATTTTTGATAATTGCCATTCTGACTGGAGTGAGATGAAATCTCAGTATAGTTTTTTTATTTATATATGATAGCAGAATGCATTACAATTCTTATTACACATATAAGCACAATTTTTTATATCTCTGATTGTATACACAGTATATTCACACTAATTTGTGTCTTTATACCGTACTTTGGATAATAATGATCATCACATCCCACCATCATTAATCACTCCATGCCTCCTCCCTTCCCCTCCAACCCCTCTGCCCTTTCTAGAGTTCGTCTATTCCTCCCATGCTCCTGCTCTCTATCCCACTATGAATCAGTTTCTTTATATCAAAGAAAATATTTGGCATTTGTTTTGGGGGGATTGGCTAACTTCACTTAGCATTAAATGTGATTGATCAACAAATATATGAAAAGTGCTCAGCATCTCTAGCAATTAGAGAAATGCACATTAAAACTACACTGAATTGCTAAAGATGTTGAACATTTTTTCATATATTTCTTGACCAATCATGTTTCTTCTTCTGTGAAGTGTCTATTCAGTTCCCATGCCCATTTATTGATTGTGTGTGTGTGTGTGTGTGTGTGTGTGTGTGTGTTTGGTGTTTTCTAAATTCTTTATATATCCTAGAGATTAATGCGGTATCTGGTGCAGGTGGCAAAGATTTTTCTCCCATTTTTCAGGCTTTGTCTTCAGGTTCTTGATTGTTTTCTTTGCTGTGAAGAAGCTTTTTAGTTTGATACCAGCCCCATTTATTGATTCTTGATTTTATTCCTAAGACTTTAGGAGTCTCGTTGAGGAAGTTATTTCCTGACATGATACAGAGTTAGGCCTACTTTTTCTTCTAGTGGGCAGAGGGTCTCTGGTCTAATGCCTATGTCTTTGATCCACTTTGAGTTGAGTTTTATGCAGGGTGAGAGATAGGGTTCTAATTTCATTTGGCAACATATGGATTTCTAGTTTTCCCAGTGCCGTTTGTTGAAGAGACTATCTTTTCTCCAGTGTGTGTTTATGGTACCTTTGTCAAGTATGGGATAACTGAATTTAGGTGGGTGTGTCTGTGTCTTCTATTCTAGGGCACAGCTTTTTTGCCTCTGATTCACATGGGGCATGCACAGCTGCTACAGGTGAGATTGAGGTAAGGGTGTGCCTCTGATACAGAGAAGGCACAGCCTCTTTCCCAGCAGCCTTTTGTACCATTCTAGTCATTGGGCTTAATGCCAAGTCACAGATCTTGCAGACCAGATGGAGTTCCACATCACAGTTTCCAAGAAAACAACCCTGTGGGAGACAGGTCCTTCCTAGACAGGCCTAGCCCTGAGGTTTACTAACCCTTTACTTACTCAGCACTTTGGAGAAGACTGCTAGGAATGGTGCTTTAGCACAGGCAGAATTCAAAAACATAGCACCAAGAATAGAAGATGCCCTTAGTAATGATGCCTCCTAAGCACCGTGATCCAAGGTGAGGCAATGGATTGGTCAGGTTCTCTTAGAGTCAGTGTTTATGTTGTAGAAATTGAAGCCATATCAGTTGGCTAGGAGCAAGCTGTATGGGATTTGGATGTCTAAACAAAGAACATAGATTTACTTTCTACCAGCATTGTCCAATATGGAAGCCACTAGCCATACGTGGCTTTTATTATTAAATTGAATAATATGAAAAAAATCATTTCTGTGATTATCCCAGTGACTTTTTAGGAGCTTAGATAACACCTATGTCTAGGGCACACATGTTTTGGACAGTGTGGACATGACCGTCGTGGCAGAAAATTCTGTTG